GTTATTATTATTATTATTATTATTTTTCCTTTGATTCGAAAGTCTGTGTTCTAAACTGAAGACTCGGGGAGGCGAGGGGGAAGGGAAAACAATCCAGTCCAGTGATTCTGTTGCAAACTTGAGGGGCCCGTTGGAAAAACAAAACTCGCCACCTGGGTCTGGAGTCATACAAGCCCTAGGGGTGGTGGCACCACTTGCTGGATTCCCCGGGGACTGAATCCTCTGGGGCCAGACTCTTAAAGGGACCTGGGGGAATCCTCTCAGAGGCCCACCCCACCCTCTTCCCAAATAGGCTGTAGTTTCTAAGCTGTGAACATTTCAAGGTAAATTCATAAAGAAGAAAAAGATGGCTCAGCTATTTCTTGCCAGGTTTACACTAGTTGAGCTGAGTTACTTTGGAAATTGAATGCAAATGGCAACTTATATTCCAAAACCAGACCCATCTTGTTGCCTATTGTGATTTAAAAAAAAAAAAAAAAAAGATTGCTGTATATAAAATATTGGGTATTGCAGACCAAATTAAGTGTTTTGCCTTGTTTAAATGAAATGCATGTTTAGTGAGCACTAATACAATCTTATTACAGAAGACTGTTTTTAGTAGCTTATTGTAAAGTAAGCCAGCTGTAATGAATGTCTGTGTCTTGTTTTAAAGTCATATCTGTCTTTGCACAAATGCACCCATCAGCAGGTATATTTTATATACTCCAGAAAAGTACAAAGTAACCATGACCAGGGCCCAACTTTAATTTTGAGTGCTTTTCCAGTGGTACTGCCAAGGGAATAGAAGTGGGGCAGGTTTGAGTGGGATGTGTCAAGTGGAGCACCAGAAGGTTCATATTTATTAGAGATATGGGTTTGCTCACCAGCCCAGCAGCTCACTGATGTAGTACTGGATTGGAGGTGTGCTTTTCTGAGCAGACCATGTTCTGTAGATTTTCCCACCCTCCCCCACCACAAATAGCATAAATTCTGGGGGTTTCCCAGTGCTTTAATCCACACGTATAGTTAGGAAGCCATAGCTGGAATGTTGACTTTTCCATGCCCCCAGTGAACCTTAAGAGAGTCAGAGGTTAGGCAGTCATCTGGGTCATCTTGAAGAAGGCATAAGCAACTGTCTGATTTCTAAGGCCCACTATAGATAATCCAAAAAATACTTTCCCCATTATTGTGTTCTCCAAAAAAAAAATTTCTATTTCCAGAAATGAAAACACAAATTTGAGTTGCTGTTTGGTCTGATGACCTTTGTATTGAAAGGTAAGAGTCAAAGTCGCTGGTCACAGGTAAGTCATATTTTCACAAGCAGTAGGCAAGGGAAAGCCCAAACACTCAAGGATGTAGATGAGGAGATCTTGCCCCAAGAGAAGGCAGACAGGTTCCCTGGGTTGCAGCCAAGCTACTTCCTACAGACCATGAACCGCACAAAGATAAACTTATAAGGGAAACGATGCTGAGCTTATTCTAACCTCCAGATTCCTGGGTATTACTCAATTCCATTTAAACTGATAGTAAAAGTCTGCATTTGTGTGGTGGACCAAAACGAACGAACTTTGCAAGGTGAAATTTTGAGACCTGGACTCAGTAAAATAATCCTCTTGCTCTGAGTGTCAGCTTTTTTTATAGTGGTTTTACACCTTGAGACTTGCGGAGTTCCTCCATTGGCCAGGTGGTAAAATCTGGTTTTGAAAACTAGGGAATTAACCTAGTGGCATGCACAATGGCATGGGGACCCAGCACCTCTACAGGTAATGTTCACGAGCTGCATCTCATTTTCTCCTGCTCTTGATTGAAGACCTAATTCCTCCTAATTCCTCCTTGATGGTGGAGTCAGTTAATGTTGGGGAAAGCCCACTTGGGCTCCGTCCTCAGTCATGACATCTTACTGAGCCAGTCTCACTGCTCGCTAGAGCCTAGAGCTGGGGTAAGAAGCAGGGGAGCATGTCTCCAGCTGTTAAAAAAAACAGAGCAGACAGACACAGGGCTGATCAATGCTGATATGCCCAGGATGGACGGAAAGTAGTCCTCGTCCTGGCCTGCCATTGACCCTGACTGTGTTTTCTTGAGGGTTGTTTTTCTCATTCTTCGCCTTCCCAGGCAGGCCTTTGTATATCTGATCCAATGCACTGTGTGGCCAAGGGACTCAGCAGCACCCAGAAGGCTGAATGCCTAAAAGCTTATGTCACTCCTGAGCTGGGCTGTTCATTGTCATTGCTGTGTTGAGGGACCTCTGGAAATGGGAGTCTGTTCTGTCTGAAAGCAGCTCCGCCTGTGATGCTCAAGGGACTGGAATAAAGTTGCTTACGACTTGAAGGATGATACAGACTGGTCGACTGTTCATACCCTTGTTTAGGGTGGGGAAGGGGTGCTGAGGGTGCAGTCCCATCCCACTGATACACCCTGGGGGCACTTTCCACAGGGGAACTTAATAATACAGATCTATATCTATATTTATACCTATATATCGATATATTTATGAATCCTTTCCTATGGAGTGTGTCCTGCATCAGTTGACTGTGGGTCACTCTAGCTTGGCATTCAAGCATGTTGATTGTTTAATATGATTGTCTGGGACCTGAGCTTTCTGTGCCTAAACTGCTGCTCCAGCTGAATCTGTGCCTGAGTGAGGGCCCAGATGCTGTGTTGGCTTCCTTCTGGGTATGGTTTCAGCCCTGGAGGCACAAGGAAACAGGGTTTGTGAAAGAGGGATGAGAGGGTCTGTGAGCCCAAAGCATTGTCCAAGAGTATCCTTGATCTACGGCTTCTTTACTTCCATCCACTCATGGCCTTCACTTTCTTCTCACCTCTTCTCCTTCCTCACGACTGACCAGAGCTATAAACTCTAGTCTCAACATTAGGTGCAATGGAAGGAGAAACGGAGGCCCTTTCCTCTTCAGGGGGAAATTAGCATCCTCCCCTCCCCTCCCTGGACCTCTCAGTCTGGAGAAGAATCTATGGAAAAGATGACATGATACAGAGCCCACAGCCTCAAAGCCAATTCCAATCAAGGTGTTATTGCTGTCACTGTCTCTGCCTCCAGCACAGGGGTCATGAATGTAGGAAAAAGAGGCTGAAAATCAGCTGTAGTAGACGTCTCATAGGCCAGCCAGACCTCGTGCTGGAGTGAGTTGGCCTGGAGGGGAGTCCTTTTGTACCTGTTTCTCTCTATGGTTCAGCAGTGGCCCTGAAGCCTTTGAGGACTGAGCATGAGGAACGCCATGTCATTCATGGCAGTGATGGCGAGCAGGTGGCTGGGACCCTCCAACCTGATCAGGAGTCTTCACTCCCACACCTGTTGGAAATTAACCGGTTAATTTCCAGCAAATTTTCAAGCCTGAGACTCCTGTCTTCAGGGTACTGTCTCAACACCCCAACCCAACCCTGGACTCCCTGACAGTCTAATTCAGGTGTGGGGAGGGGGCCACCGGCCAGGTGAGGAGGAGTCTGTATGTTCCCTCAGTCAAGGTAAGGGGAAATCACGAGTGCTTTCTTTAGGAAAAATGGAGATGCTTCAACAAGCCTCTCATCTTTGTCAGGTGTATGCTTGCATTCTCCTGAAATATTCTGGTTTTTCAGGTGGCTGAAGAAACAAGAGAAAGAATGTTGTATTTGCCAAGACAGCAGACTATCAGTCAAATTCACCTACAATAGAAAGATTATTATAGAGTGAAAAGGTTTCCAAGCCAAGAGCCAATGATATATTTTATATCTAACCAGTGATACATGCATTGCAGATTTCTCTATACTTGAATGATGACCATGTGTCCAGGACTTAGGTCCTGGGCACTTGCTGCCCTGGCTGCTAATATGCCATTGATTCTCACACACAGGAGTGCAGACACTTGAGTGGGCAGCCTTCCCAAAGTGAAGTTAGAGTCTGGTGACCTCTCATCACATTGTGAAAGTCTAAGGGTAAGAGGGGCTTGTACGCCCTGGGACTGGGGTGACTGCCGAGCCCTGCCTCTCTCAGAGTGAACCAATGTCCTGGCACTGATGATGCCAGGCTGTCATCACTTGGTATATCATGGTCTTTGAGGATGGACTGCATCTAACCTGCCTTTCCATCCCCAGCACCAGGCACAGTGCCCGGCCCATGGTAACTGAGCTGAGTTGGTATAGAGATGAAGATGAGGGCAAGTTCCGGTCCTGGACCCTGAGGTCCTGATAGTTGGTCATCTTCACCCACCCAGAGTCCCAGTACAGGGAGGTGAGGGGTGGGATGGCACATGTGGGGGGCCAAGTTCACAGCAGGACCGGAGCTGCCATGAGTCCAGGGAGGACTGCCTCCGGAGAGGAGGCGACACTAGTGAATGCCCAGGAGGACCTCCTTGGGCAGGAGTGGGGGTGGGGGCAGCACATTCAGACCTCCTACCGATACTGGGGAACACAGATCATGGCAAAGGGGCCTTTGGCCCATTTCCTGATCCATGATCTCTCCAGAAGCCTCCTCAACAAGCACTTCTCCCAGCCTCCTCATTAACGCCCACTGGTCCAGGAATGGAGGCTGCCGAGGATGCAAACAGGGTTGAAGTTGGTCAGAGAAAGCTTTCCCAAGGTGGATTTTTAGCCAAGATTTGAAAGCTGTGGACATAGATGAGAAGGTGAGATGTGGAAGAACACAGAAGCCGCTACTTGTTTGGAAGAGAGAGGCTCTTGGGAGATAATCATGGAGGACAGTTGAAGGAGTGGGTGGGTGGTCACTGAGGGAACGCCGAGAAACACTGGGATTTGAGCTGGCGGATACTAGCGAGGCTGTGGCTTCCAGGGCAAGAGACTGTCGTGACGAACTTGGTGTTTCAGCCACATGGTTTTAGCATCTGTGAAAAGGTGGGTGAAGATGAACTAAAGGACATGAAAGGCTCTTGTAATTAGTGGAGAGTGAGGAAGACGAACGTGGATGGACAGAGCTTACTCCCTACCCCAAGGAACTGGAAGAACAGCCATCCTGGTGGCCTTTTGTGGTCACACTGGAGGCCTGGTGATGTCTTCAGCCTCTTCTCACTTAACCTTGGGGTGGAGGCACAATGGGGCAACCGGAAGAGGAAACGCCTGCTGTGTTGGAACCCAGGACCTGAGGAGTCCACGGGGAGCCCAGAACCTTCCCAGCACACAGAGGCTTCCTCCCAATCAGCCAGAGGGCCCCAACACCCACCTCACAGAAAACATGGGACACTTGAAGTTTACTCTTACATTATGAATATTTATTTTTTTTCTTCTTAAAAATGTACAAAAAATAAAATAACTGTATTTATAGTTTATAGATTCCCCCTCTCCCATTTACAAAACTATTAAGTTACATTTGCCTTTAAAAAAAAAAAAATGAGCACAAATTGTCCATCTAGCAATCTCCTTTGCTTGTCTTTGAGAAAGGGCTGTTCATAGAATTTGGCACAAACCTCCTGCTTCTGTTGCATTTTCATAATTTTAAATAAGAAGGAAAATAAACGTTTGATTCAGTTCATGCTTATTAAATTTCTAGGCTGGGACATGTCTTAGTCTTTTAGGATCCAATTCCAAGATGACATCTGACTGCATTTTTTGTTGGACCCAATTTCCCAGAAAGTCTAAGCATTTGGGGTAAGTTTAAGAAAAATACTTGTTGCATATGTCCCTCATCTTACATGGAATTTTTAAAGCTTATTTATTTGAGTCTGATTAAGAAACAAAAAAAAAAAAAAAGAGGAGGCAAGTTTTCCCATTTCTCTGGAGTGTTTTTTTTTTCCCCTTGGACAATTTTGCTCATCAAAGCTCTGCTCATACACAGTGAAGGCCACATCGAAGCTAGGCCACGGGCACGCTGAGAATGCAGAGAGGATGCAGTAAGACGGGGACAGGTTGGATGGGAGGGCACACTCTGCCACCCTTTGCTGGCACTGACCGCGTATGCTTTGTCCTGGCAGTGGCCACCACAATGATTGCCCAGGGCCCTGGGACAAAGGCAAAAGTATCTTGGATTCATCTTCTGCCTAGGGCAGGACCAGAAACATTTTGTTCACAGAGACTGGGGAGAGAAGGTCAGGTAATTCATGTCCGATTGAAGAGTTTCTCTTTTCCCTACCCTGGAGTCCTATGCCCTGGCCCCACAGTAGTCACCGTTGTGCCTGCCCATCATGTCTGAAATCACCCCTTAGGCAGGGAGCGTGATGGCACATTGTACATCACACATTTCCAATACCGAGTCCCATTAGTACCACATGCTGGTCCAGGATGTGACAGTCACAGAGTGGAGGAGGAGGGGACAGACTGGAGCAGAGCTAAATCCAGGATGCGACCTTTGGCACCGCAGGGAGGGGTAACGCGTCCAGAAGACACACAGAAAGGTGCCCCCTCACGACACCCAGAGATCTTCCTGGGCACGCACCTTCCCTCCAGCCCATTCAAATCCTCTGCAGCCTCGAGGACAGAGGGCTGGGCTGAAAGCAGCCCTTCCATCCTGCTCTGGGCCTCGGGGGCAGATGGGGCGGGAGGCAGGGAGCCCTTGGAGAGAAAGCCCCCAGGGAAGACATCAAAGTGCTTTACAAACAAATCTGGACCCTTCCATAGAACCTGCCCTAGATCTGGGACCTCCTAGGGAGTGCGGCTACCAGAAACCTAGTGCTTCAGCCCACAAGGCTGAACACGAGCCCCTAGACCGTGTACCTGTCCCCTCAAAGAGAACTGTGGCCCGGATGGTTCATGATGTTGTAACTGTTTGGGGAAGCATTTCACCTCCTCTTCATCTGCCAGGATACCCGGTAGGAGGACAAGCCTTCTCTTTCCATCTTCCAGATGCTGGTTTCAGAAGCGCCAGGGCTCCTGGGGTCTTCTTGCTCCGCAACCCCATCCAGCATCCAGCAGCCCAGCCTGCCCGAGCCGGCTGAGCCCCAGGAGGCAGCCCACGCCTAGCGGTCCAGAGCTGAGCCATTGGCACCACTCTCAGGACTGCACTTGGGCCTCCAGGGAGCCACTTGAGATGAGGACGTGCTTGTAAACTGTGAGACACTGCAGAGTGGCCGGATCCTCACGAAGCCCAGGAGTTCTGCAGCAGACCCAGTGACGGAACCCTGATGGCAAGTCCCTGCGGCCTCTCCAGAAAGTTCAGGCGGCCCCGACACCAAAGCTGGAGGAGCTGGGACCTCCACAGACAGTTCAGATGGAGAGTCAGGCGAAGCTCATCGCCATGAGACAAACTCTGGGCCTCCGGGGCAGGTAGTGCCATAGAGAGGGAACGGGGCAGTGGGGGGGGCCTCAGGCGTGCCCACGGGGGCAACCATCTTGGCACCCACTGCCCGACACCCTGAAGGCCTTGTCCCTTGTCCAGCATGTCTCCTGAACAGCACGGAGGCAGAAACCTCTTGGAGAAAGCGGGGTCTCCAGGTATGCGCCACCCCCAGGCCTGCGGCAGTAAACATGCCCACATACCACAGGTAAAATATATTATTGCGATATTATAAACACTATGTACATGATAGCCAGGCACACTTCCGGGGTTACTTACTAATTACACGGTAGCCGAATGTCTTCCTGTACACGGCCTGGTGGCCTGGTGGGAACCCCTGGGGGTGCCCGCCATTGACCTTCCACAGAGCAGACCGAAGGCTTCTGACCAGGAAGGAGTGTCCACCTTTCCCCACACCTCGGACGAAGGAAGCGGCTCACTCTGTCCAGCCGCTCAGGAGACGTCGGGGGTGAGATGGCAGGAGGGAGCTCCCTCAGGCTCTTCAGGATCAACGGACTGAAAGGGAAAGCTCCGGCCCTTGTCAGCTGGAGCCAGCAGTGACCTGCAGAGTCCTGGCGGGTCCTGGGCCCCAGGCTCCGGAAAAAAGGTGGACAATAAATAAGGATGTGACAGGCTCAAGGCCCCGTCCCGAGGGGCCTGGGCCGCGGCTCCAGGGCAGGAACCGGTGGGTGGCCCAAACGCAGGGATCCCAGCACGGGTCTTAGGGCCTCATCCCGCTTCCCAGCGCAGTCGTGTAACAGCAGTCGTCGGATGGGTGAGGTGGGTCTGCGGGTCCTGGGGGCCGGGGCCTCTGACATCCCCGGGGAAGGAAGGCCCTGAGGGCTGTAGCCCAGAGTGGGGCTCAGATTTCCATGAGTGTGATCTTGAAGCCTTCCACCATGCTCTCCATGTTGAGGATGAAGGTGTCCTCATTCGAGTAGTGCTCAATGATGTTGTCATCCATATTCACCAGGATGCTGCAGGGGTGAGTGCAGGGGGGGGACAAAGATGCCATGACCGAGGTGCTCAGTGAAGGGCAGGCTCCAGGATGGGGGTTCCCTCAGCCATTCTTTCACAAGGGAGGCTAGGGAGGTGGGTGGGGGGTGGAAGGGAGAGGAGACAGGCAGGGAGAGAGGCCCTCACTGTATTTCTTTCCCCAGACATCAGTTAGAGGGAAGCAAAACCTTGATTTCTCAGAACTAACTTCTTATGAGCCAGGATATCAGAGATCATTCAACCCAAACCTTTGGCTCTCTAGACTGGTAAACTGAAGCCCAGAAAAAGTTAACAGAGCCTGAAATCACAGAGCTAACTACTGACAGAGACTGGATCTAAAGAGTTAGGTCTCCTAACTCTTTTCATTAAACCATATTGCCTCTTGAAAACACCTTTTTAAAAAGTCCTCTGCACTTACAAGAGGAAAATAAACCAGAGCTGTGGCTACCCTTCCTCGAGCATGGAGTCTGTTCAGCAAACCTGTGTTCAGTCCTCAGGGCAACTTTGGAGGCAGGTGCGAGCACCACCACGTTGCTATTGAGTAGCCTGAATTCAGCGAGGTTAGATCGTGTCCCCAGGCTCACTCAGTCATTTCAAGGCTGAGCTCGGTTTGGGTACTAGCTTTGCCTCACTCTAAATTCGTACTCTATCACATGTAACCTAGTCCTTTGTTAACCATCTGAGTTGGGTCACGTTTTAAGAAAACCAACAACTTCCAGGGCCCGTCCATGAGACAAGTCCTTGAGCCCATCCCCTTCTTTGAAGTCAGACAGACCTTCGTTTGAGAAGTGACTATCATTTTACAGCTATGTGTCATCAGGCAAGTTGTTTAGCCTTTCAGAGTCTTGGTTTATTCTTCCACAAAAATAAGAATAACAGCCCTGCTTTAGAGGGTTGTGGTTAGGATTAAAGTATTTAGCCCAGGGCCTGACACCGGACCCTGTGGAAGTGAAATGCTACCATCGGCATGCACATCAGCACTCAGGGCTTCTGCTCAGCATGAGACCCTGAGACACCACTCAGATCTCACCATCAAAGGAATACTCTGAGCCTCTTGCACTGACTTTGGAAAGAACATGCATTTTAGTGAGCTTTCAACCAGGGCTCAAATGGAAAGGGTTTCCCGCTTTACTCCAAATTAACTGAGAAACCCCATCACTTGGAAGTCCCCAATATCCCAGATCATCAATTTCTTCTATGAAAAAGGCTCAGAGAAGAGTTTAAAGATAAACTTTCTGCTTTTTGTAAGAAAATGGCTCCAGAAGCTGACTCAGTGGAGACCCTTTTCCAGCAATAAATTCTCTTTCAAGGACACTATGCTTACAGCTTCATTCACAGGAGGCCCTGAGAGGGCTGGAGGCAGCAGACAGTAGAATGTGCAAGCTAAATACTTGGGCTTTGGGGCCACGGAAGTCTACTTGGGTTAAATCTGCATTTCACTTACTGAACACGAGACTTTGGGCAAAATGTTTAGCCTCCATCTGGCTCGATTTCCTTGGTAGTAAATTAGGGATAAGAATCTACCTCACTTTGATGAGGTGATGAGGAATAATAGAACAATGCGCATAACGCACTTAGCAGGGGACCCAGAACCTACCGAAGACCAGATAAATGAAAGCTATTGTTCTTAACACTGAGAACAAGAAGGTCCAGTAATCACTTTGATCATTCTGTTAATAATGACCCCAGAAGAATCCGTGGTGTCCCAAATCCTTTGTATTCCTACTGTGCTGCCCTGAGACCAAGCCTAAGAGCAGCACTTGAGTCCCAACAAACTTGGCTCTCTGCCCAAGGGCGACATTGCCACTGTCCCCACTTCCAGACCCCTCTATTCTACCCACTAATCCTGTCATGGAGGGGGACATCTCAGCTGATACCATGACAATGCACTCTCACCCCTTCTCTTTCTCTCATTAAAGATCTTCAAAATGCATGGCACGGGTAAGCTGCTCAGCACTCCTTCGGGAAGATGACATACAATTTTTATAAAAGGCGGACAACAGAACTAACAAGAGATGGGTGCCGTCTTGTTTTCACAAAGGCACTGTGTAGACATATCTGATTTGGAAGTCAATTGAAATTCAGTTTCTTTCTTACCCTTTTTTGCTTTTCTTGTAAAGCTTTGCTATCTTCTCCACGGGCAGCCCATATTTCTCAGAGATCTGCAACCAGTAACAAAAAGGCAGATGAGTGTGGAAGGGGAACCAAGCAGAGGCGAAAGAGAAAGTTCCAATGTCACTGTCCGGAAGATGTTCCTGGGTGCCAGTGGCCTTCACTCACGAGTCAAGCTTTCAGAAAGACTCATTTGCAAGGCTCTCCCTTTGGACACACCATAAATCAATCAGCAAAAGATTCAGTCACACGAGAATCTGATCTATGATAAAGGTGTCATTTCAGATCAGTCAGAAAAAGATGGACTGTAGTTATGATGTTGGATTAAATAGATAGAAAAAAATTAACAAGTTATGCTGGATCCTTTCTCCACTCTTTCCATCAGAATAAACATCATCAAAGATTTACATGTGAAAGATGAAACCATGCAAGAAGAAAGCATGAATCAATTCTTTGTATGGATATTATAGATACAGATATTAATTATGGATATTAAAGATAAGGATGATCTTTCCAAGCAAGTATGAAACCTAAAGAAAAAAGGCCAAAATGTTGCTAAAATAGCATAAAATTTAAAATACCAGTATAGCAAAAACTACCATAAAAAGTTGAGGACAGACAATACACTGGGAAACACTTCTGTGGGCAAAACAAATGACAGATATGGTACTAACTTCCTTAAGTTAGAAAGAACATCTATGGGGGCTCTCCTGATGGTCCAGTGGCTAAGACTCCATATTCCCAATGCAGGGGGCCCAGGTTCAATCCCTGATTGGGGAACTAGATCCACATGCAGCAACTAAGACCTGGTGCAGTCAAATAAATAAATAAAAATATATATTATTTAAAAAAAAAAGAAAGAAAGAACATCTATGAATACAAATAAAAGGTTAGGGCTTCCCTGGTGGCTCAGTGGGAGAGTCTGCTTACCAATGCAGGAGACACAGGTTTCATCTCCGATCTGGGAAGATTCCATATGCCACAGAGCAACTAAGCCAGTGACCCACAGCTATGGAGGCTGTGCTGTAAAGTCCAGGAACCACAAGTACTGAGCCCATGAGCCACAACTACTAAAGTTTGAGCGCCCTAGAGCCTGTGCCCTGAAACAAAGGAAGTCACTGCGATGAGAAGCCGGCGCACTACAAGAGTAGGCTCCCCTGTCATTGCACCTGGAGAAAAGCCCGTGCAGCAATGAAGACTGAGCACAGCCAAAAATAAATAAATACAAGACTAGTGTGCTCACTTTAGGGCTTCCCAGGTGGCGCTAGTGGTGTAAAAAAAAAAAAAAAACCCCGCCTGCCAATGCAGGAGACACAAGAGACTCAGGTTCGATCCCTGGGTTGGGAAGATCCCCTGCAGGAGAAGTTGGCAACCCACTCCAGTATTCTTGACTAGAGAATCCCCATGGACAGAGGAGCCTGGCGGGCTACAGTCCATGGGGTCCAAAGAGTTGGACACGACTGAGCGACTGAGCACACAGCATATGAGCTCACTTTGGCACCACTTACACTAAAATTGTGGAGAAGGAAATGGCAACCCGCTCCAGTATTCTTGCCTGGAGAATCCCATGGACAGAGGAGCCTGGCGGGCTACAGTCTGGGTTCTCAAGAGTAGGACACGACTTAGCAACTAAACCACCACCACACTAAAACTGATACAGAAAAGATGAACACGGCCCCTGCACAAGGATGATACGCAGGCTCCTGAGTCAGTCCATATTCTTTAATACAAATGAATTTATTTGCAAGACAGAAACAGGCTTCAAGACACAGAAAACAAACAGATGGCTAACAGAGGAAGGGGGGAGGGGAGAGGGAGGGATAAATTAGGAGTCTAGGATTAACAAATATATATAAAATAAACAATAGGACATACTGTATAGCACAGGAAACTATATTCAATACATCTTATAACAACTTATAGTGGAAAATAAGCTGAACACATATATATCTGAACCACTTTACTGTACACCTAAAACAAACACAATATCGTAAATCAATCATACTTCAATTAAAAAAAAAGACAATTCAGTGAAAAAAGGAAGAAAACAACATAAAGAAGTAATTTCAGAAAAATGCAATAGGACAATACACAAATGAAAAAATGCACCATCGCACTAATAACTTAAAAATTCAAATTAAAGCAACCAGAGGATACTATCTTTAATTTATAAGGGCAACAAAAACAGAAAGCTTGATAATACAGTGACAGCCAGAGGATAAGATACAGCAACTCTCCTAGTCCATAAACAGGAGAGCAGCAAGCTCGACCTTTCTGGAGGGAAGTTTGGCAGAAGACATTGAAATTTAAAAGGCATATATCTCTTGACCCAAATAGTCCACATCTAGTAATGTGATCTACAGAAATACAGTCAGATGTATGTAAGTACGTACATCTTGAAAGTATCACTGTTCATAACACAGAAAACAACCATTAAGCACACTTTGATATTTGCTCAGTTAAAAACCATGAAGTCATATAATGATTTAAAGAAATGCACAATGCCTATATGAAAAAAAAAAATGTCCTTAACATATGAAGTTCAGTTCAGTCACTCAGTCGTGTCCGACTCTTTGCGACCCCATAAAAACATATTAAGTGAAAAAACACAAATAGAAAAACAGTGTATATTGTGTGATCCGGCTTGTATATTTTAAAAAATATATATGTAAGTAAATGGGCTTCCCGGGTGGCGCTAGTGGTAAAGATCCCACCTGCCAATGCAGGAAACATAAGAGACACGGGTTTGATCCCTGGGTCAGGAAGATCCCCTGGAGAAGGGCATGGCAATCCACTCCAGTATTCTTGCCTGGAGAATCCCATGGACAGAGAAGCGTGGAGGGCTGCAGTCCATAGGGCTGCAGAGTCAGACCCGACTGAAGTGACTTAGCACGCATGCACGCATGTAAATAAATAGAAAATATTTGAAAGACCCATCAATCTATTAACAGTGGCTACCCTGGAAAAATGGACATAAACAAGGAGATTATTTTTCTTTTCACTTTGCATAATTCTGTACTGTTTACTTTTACAGTGACTTATTTTCATAAATGTAAAGCAATATAACAGTAGTTTGGAGATGCGTTCTGGAGAGTTCTCGAAATACTGTCTTTCTCCCAAATCCAATCCACCCACCTCTTGTGAGTCCAATGGCTGGCGCAGTGCACAAACAGCTGGGCTGGTGAGGTTTGAGACTCTGACTACCGGTGGTCTAGCAGGGCCCGGGGAAAGAGCCCGCATAGCTCCGGGGAAAAGGTGGGATAGCTTTGTCCCCTGGGAAGAGCTTATTCTCCAGAGAACCATAGATTCCCACCTGTCCATCCCTCATACTACATAGGAAGACCTTCCCCACCTCTCCCCCAAGCCCCAAAGGAGCAGAACAGCTGGGCCAAGGGCTGAGACAGCAAAGGGAGACTGGCAAACAAACAGCCTGCCTGTCACCCACCACCGCTCCGTCACTGATGGGACTGCCCCATGGCCGCCCTGGAGCCCAAACGAGCCCAGCACATAAAAGAACCTGGCCTGTGGGGTAGCAAAGAAAATGTACAGAGCTTGTGTGGAAGGTATCCATGTGACAGAACACAAAAGAGCACTTAGGAAGATTGTTGTCCAGCACATATACACACACATGCAAAATCCTGATCTAAAATACGACTGAACTAAAAGATCCGCAAGTTCAGTAAATGAGTTGAAGGCTAGGTGGTTGATCCAGCAAACCAATCGAGTTAGGAAAGTTCAATCAGGAACCCCATTTCAAGAGCAAAGCAAAGACACATGGCATAGACAGAAATCAGGAAGGGAATAAAAGGAGAGAGAGAGGGAGGGAGATGTGAAAAATATAGGCAACCATACCAGATGTAAGGAAATTCTCTAGGGGCTCAGATGGTAAACAATCTGCCTGCAGGCTCAATCCCTGGGTCAAGAAGATCCCCTGGAGAGGGGAATAGCTACCCACTCCAGTATTCTTGCCTGGAGAATTCCATGAACAGAGGAGTGTGGTAGGCTACAGTCTATGGGATTGCAAAGAGTCAGACATGGCTGAAAAACTAACACTTTCAAACTTGCAAAGTCTCAGGCAGAGAAAAAGGAGCAAATGGAGAAGAGAAAACAATTAAATAATAGAAGACCACATTTTTAGACAGGAGAGGTATCCTGAATCCCAGAAGGGATCAGTGAGAAGATAGCCATGCATCTGGCCATTCTGAAAAGTGCCAGATCTCCAAAGGTAAGAATAAAAATAAAACATCCTGGAATCTCCTAGACAGAAAGTATAAGTTATCAACATTAATACTAATACTAAAAAAGAAAAGAAAAGGAATGAACCTGGCTTCAGTCTTATCTGCAAAATTGGGAACCAAAGTGGAAAAACCACTACAGACTACTGAAAAAAGGGGTGTCAGCCTACAAATTCTGTACACTGACAAGCTCTCCCTCAATACTCAGGTTAAAGAATGGCATTTAACAAATGCATTTCATTAAAAAAATCCCATTTGAAGAAAATACTCATAAAAGATCTCTAGCTGAACAGAATATACAAAAGAACAAAGACTTCAGTGAAGCAAAGGGGGAAGAAACAAGTATCCAGTATTATACCATTAAAAAAAAATATATATATATACACACACATACTCACATGGAGAGAGACATATATACTCTATATATCTGTATACATTATATATGGCTGTATAACTATAGTTCTCCATACATAACTCTTTATATACATATACATACAGTTCATATATAGATATAGAATTATATATATGTATATAATATATTCTGGAGAAGGAAATGGCAACCCACCCCAGTATTCTTGCCTGGAGAATTCTATGGATGGAGGAGCCTGGTGGGCTGTGGTCCATGGGTTCGCAAAGAGTCGGACATGACTGGGTGACTAACACACACATATAATATATATCTATTTATATCTATATATAGATATATAGGTAAATAGACTGGGGAAGTGAAATAAGTGTTAAATAAGGGTTCTTGAAATGAAAAGAACACAATGGGAGGAAAAATCTAATCATGTCCTAGAGAGAAAGTAATTAAC